TCACAGTGCTAGTTCATTGGGCAGAAGCTCATAAACTGTATTGCCGAATCACAAAACAGGTCCGTGTATGGCACCAATGAGAGGCCTACATTCTATCCCAGAGGCGCTACTAAGCAAGATGTCAGTAGTTGAGGAGTTTTACCAGCAAAAACCAGGACACTGCAATGGTCATTTCTGGTTTGTTTGTCGTCGTCAGTAATCCGGAGATGCACACGCGGGATCAACGATTAGTTGGCTTATTACTAGTGACCCTGTGTCCGTCTATGTTAACCGTAAAACCGCAGCTTCAATGCGAAACGGAAATTAGTATTTCACGCCTGCAAGCAGGCCAGCTCGGTGCACGTCACTCTCACGTTAATGTCTTCGGCGTCTCCTCTACCCCTTCTCTAGTCAGCATTTTCTGGAACTAATTATTCTCCTACCAAACTGTCTGTAGTCATGCCCCTAAGACTTGTGCGCTGCTTGAAGTTTGCTTCCCCGGTCCGCGGACCACTAACGGACGCAGTTACACTCTCCCTCAATAGTCGGCGCCAAGAATGGCAGATTTATTTGTTACAGCGGGAACGCAAGTGCGGGCACTCCTCCCGGTGACAATACAGGCGATAAAAGTTGCTAACACCGGTAATGAAATCGGGGGGCATTAACGACTTGAACGCGTTCATCCAGTTAATTATCTTAGGAGCATCCCTCATACATGCGAAAGCTACGAATTTTGGTGGGTGTAGGCGTATTTTGACGTAACAGCTGAATCCTACGAGCACCGCACCTTTCGTGCGTCCGCCATCTCATTCTGTCGTAGTGTTTGATGGCGGACCTGAGTGAAACTGAAACCCCTGGTAAAGTAAAGTTCTTGTCTCAGCGATCGAGTCTTCTCCTTCTTTTCTTTCTTTTTCTTCTTCGTATTTTGCAACTGAAGTTTTAGGGCAGGGTTGGCTGTGGACGGCAATCAAGCCACTAACAACCCTTCTAGTGCCCTTTGCCCTTGTAGGTGATTCGCCTGTACATCATATAATGATCCCGCAAGTTAAAGTAGTTATTCTAACTACACTGATACTGTCTGGCTGCGATTAGATTATGCTTCCTTCCCATGAAGTCGCCGCAAAAATTTGGACAATAATCGCCTAGATCCTTACTAGGGGATGGGAACTAATCGCTGTTGTTGTCAAAAAACATGTTGGATGCGAATTGCAGTCTTTTGTCTGTACAGAGCAAACAAGCTCTTACTTCTCCCAACCACCAACCGGGACTCCAAAAGACCACCCAAGTCACAGCAGATATATTGAAAAGGATAGTGAAGACCGATCGCCACCAACAGATGTCAGATATTATCATTTCTTTGCCGTCAAATAGACTGGTCATTTGTAAAGTCCTATTTTGGAGGCCTATTGAAGGGAAGAAATCGGTAGTAGACACATACGTCGGCCAGATCATTGAACATGTACGTCTAAGGCAACGGTAAATTTCCTGGGGACTTTTATGTCCAACTTTCGGTGGACATCAAAATTCCGATGCGCCTACGACCCATCTTCAAAACCCAGTGAAAAGTCACGGTGTGATGGTGACTGTGCACTAACCCTAGTTGGGCTTGGTTACCATTCCTACCCGACCTCAGACTAACCACAGGCCAGAAGGACTTGACATTCGAAGCTGACTCTCCTGTTTGACAATAAAGGGGTTTAACTTCTCTGAAGTGAGATCAAAAATATTCATGATGATAAGGACAGTTGAGGATTTTAGGAAAGTGGCCGGCGCAAAAGCACTGAACTGCAAAAGTGCCTATTATATATTAGGCTGTCAATATATATATATATATATTTCGAAGAAGAATGAGTCCTTTGGGGAAATGAACAAACTTTATTTCGTAAATTTTCGAGTCTGGTTCCCCAGCTCGTCTTCAGACGTGTAGTAAGTGTGAAGAAACAGTCAAAATTTAAACAATGCCGAAAAAAATCGATATTGCTCTGTCATGACTGAGGATGGGTTAATGCAGTGGGCTGATGTCACGTCTTGATTGGCTATTACCTTTTCCATTTTTCTTTGAGACTTGTGTACATGGTATCAAGGTCGATGCGTCGATTGATGCATGAATCATCAGAGTTAATGGCCTCTAGGAATTCTCGGCCTTTCTTATATGGGCAGGAACCGACAATGCGTGTTTTATCCCAAGCGAATTTGTGCCCAGTTTCAAGAGTATGCATGGCGACTTGGGATAAGTGGTCCCGCCTCTTCACTGCCAATTGGTGTTCATGTAGGCGTGTAGAGGCGGATTTTCCGGTTTGACCACGATACACTGCATTACAAGTGCCACATGGAATCTTATAGACTACTTCTTTCTTATCCAAATAGCCAACCCTATCCTTAGGGTGTACAAGCTGATTGCGTAGCGTGGTAGTCGGTTTGTGAGCCGCTTGTATTTGGTGCTTCCTCAGGTGTCTTTCAACGAGTTGAGACACATTTTTAATGTAGGGAAGCGTTCGCCAATGTTTTGGTTTTGGCGTCTGATCGGAACAATCTAGTTCCTTCTCTCTTTCTTTTGATTCCTGCTCTTTCATGCATCTGCGTACAAAATATCTGTGGTAGTCGCATTGGGAAAATAGGTTGAATAGATAATTGAGTTCTTCTTTGTAACCTTCGTTCTCAGAGCAATGTGTCTTTGCTCAAATAAGTAAGGTCTTAACAGCACTCCGTTTGTGAGCCATAGGTTGGTTGCTTTCGTAATGTAGGATAACTTCCACGTAAGTTTCTTTGCGGTATACTGATGTGTGGAATGTCCCGTCAGTTTTTCGCTGTACGAGGCCATCAAGAAATGGGAGTTTGCTGTTAGCTTCTCTTTCGAGCGTGAACGTAATTCCCGGTAGTGTTGATTTGATAGCTTTATGCAGAGTTTCTAGCTGATCTCTCTTTACGATGACAAAGGTGTCATCGACGTAGCGTACCCACAATTTGGGATTTAATAATGGTAAGGCCATAGCCTCTAATTTTTGCATTGTGACTTCAGCCGAAATCCAGAAATAGGTGACCCCATAGGAGCCCCTTTCAGCTGTCGATAACATTCATGTGCGAACGAGAAGTTCGTTTCCAGACATAGGTCCAAGAGTTCAAGCAAAGCAGATGCAGGAACATCCATGTCGTTGGACTGTAAGAGTTCTTCTGTGCACTGCCTTGCCAAATCGAGTGGTATGGACGTGAACAGTGCTGTATCAATCTACCCCCAGACTCTGTCGTATTCGCTCTGCTATCATAGCTTGGCCGAATTCGGCCTGATAGGTGGTTGCCCGTTCGTGACCCCTATCGCCCATACGAAGCTTGTTTGCTTCGGGAAGCCAATGAATCAGTGTGCGCCCATTCCTGAGTCGACCTACCAGGTCCTCCGCCAGTATGATGACTCCATGGGTAGATGAAATTCTGAAAGGTTTTATAGCTTCGGTGCGTGGATATGTCTAACTTTGCGGTCAAGCTAGAACCCGCTTAGCCATCACATCCATTGTCCTGATAGACAAGAACGCTCCACCAGTTTGTCGAATGCTCCAGCTGTTTACTGGATCAGATTAGAAGAAATGTGAAACATGCACACAACTATAAACGTTCTTCCGCAGCGTCAACCTTGAGGTCTTACACCGAGTGTGCTGCCAACTACATGCTGGAGAATACGCCCGCTGACTGTTCGGAATAGTCAATGCTCCGAAACGTCAGGCTGCTGGTTGCGAAGCCTTCCCTTTTCTCGTATTCGACCTCTGTTGACATTATTCTGGTAACTAAACTTGGCAGACTACCTTCGTCGTCTGACTCGTCACAGGGTGTTCATGCCTTTCTTCATCCCACGTGGCTTTTTAAGAACTTCAAACAAAATGGTCGGTTAGGCTGAATTACAAACCGGCGGCCAATGCTAATAATAAAGGATATCGATTTTTCACAAGGCTACCGGGTGTGCCGTGGATGGGACAGTTGGCTCGAAATCGCGAGGTCCACTGTTCCATCCCATGTGGGAGGCTCGTTTCCTAGCACAGAATCAGTAATTTCTTTTAGTCTGTATCAGTTAAAGTCCTGCTGGTTTCTGAAAAAGTCCAAATTTTCTGAACTGCCTGATTAAATTAACTGAAGGCACATTTAAGCTCTGCTGGGCAAGCATCTGATGTGTTTTGTGTTTCAGCGTTGAAACAGAAGACTTCAAGCCCCGAGGATGCGGAAAGTTGGTGACAAGATCCAACCTGTACTTCGGTGTCCATGAAGATCGAGGTAAGCTTATAGATATCTCCTCGGCGGTTTCTGTTTTGACTTGTTCTGTAAAGCACCTGAAAAATACCTGTGAAGGTGAAAGGCATTCAGCTGTGACAAGAATTACCAAACAGACAAAAACATGAGAGTCTGAGTTTCATGGTATTCATGTGGTGTTTGAACACAATGAAACCGAGAATAAAATAAAAAAATATAATGATGAATTACAGTCGACAAAGTCTCCTTCAGACGTAGGATCCGCACATGACTTGCATGTGGAAACTTAAAGATGAGTGAGTGTCAAGAAATTCAACAGGCTGAATAGAAATAAAGTTCAGTGCATCAAAATAAGACTAAGACATTGCTTTTATCTGTTGGCATAATTTTGCGACGTAGATTAGACCGTCTGTCAGCAGCTGCGACTGACAGCCGTTCTGCATCCACAAGTCAAACAAGAAACTATCCTTTTTTCTTCACAGAGATTACCATTGTCCGTCGATTCTGTGCAAGCGAGGGAGCAACAAGCGACGAAGAGCGTTGCGATTCCACCCTGTCCCAGGGACGTGTTACTGAAAGGTGCATCTGTGGTTCTGACCGATGCAATGGTGCAACATCCTTGTCAATGCTTCCGTCTTCAGTATTTCTGCTCGCGGCTGCTTGGTTGCTATCAACGTAAACCTGTGAACCTCACGGAAGGCCACAGTTGGATACTGTTTCTAGCCTACTGGACGAACATGATCAATTTTATGTATTGCTTACTCGCTACTTTCAACTTATCAGTACAAATGAATAGTAAAAATGTACTACACTATCAAACGTATCGCGCTGGATTCGTCCCTTTTTGACCGCCTGTGACAAGCTGGCATTGCGCTGCAAACTGGTGAGTGAACCCTGAACTCAGTCGATTGGCTAAATAAGAACATCTTCGGGAGTTCTCTTGGCAGCTGTTTTGGAAACATGCAAAGTAATGCTAATTTGTGTGAAGGCCAAGAGGCGACCATTACGCAACAGTAAGTATTGCCGTCGATTTCGACGTGGCTATCGCCCCTCCATCGGAAATCCCCGTATGCAAGGCTCACGTAAGTCAATTATCGACCACAAACAGGCGAGAAATTCAGTGACGTCCGTCAACTTCCACGTCGAAATTGCCCCTGCAGTCGTGCAGGTCTGACTGCAGAGAGACTTAGACTACGAACACATGGACGAAAACTGGCAGTTGGAGGATTAGTTACTGCTGCAGGTAGCTGTAAACACCCCGGAGGTAGATATTGAGTTCGAACTCGTGAGCTCAAGTCAGACTGTAGGTTTTTCGAGTCCTGAACCCCGATGCTAACTGTATAGACCGTCGTATGGATTTCTCCCAGCCGATTATGCGTTGCGTGTCCAGTGACAGACGGTGAGGCCGGTTTCCGCCCAGGGACGCATACAGTCGTCAGATAGTAGGAAAGTACAAAAGCTACGTGTTCGTTGCTGCATCTTCACTCCTCCCGATGATAGGGTCTGCGCGGGTCGGAAAGTTCACACAAATGCAACATTGTTACATTGATTAACTCCTCGTTTTCTTTGAAACATGTTTTTATTTGCAAACCGAAGACGGGGATGAACTAATTCCGGTCAAATTCCCGAGGTCCAAATGTGACGCGCAGACCGATAAAGCGGTTATCATAAATGTACCGTAGATGGGCTAACTCATGAAATGTCAACCAAAATTTCGAAATGCGTTCACATTTCGAAAAGATAAATTAAGTAGTGTTGTAAAACTTATCATGATACAGCATAAATCTATAATGATCCAGTTATCTCAGGGTGTCGGCTTTCGATAGAACTTATTTTCGGCTGCATGCAAGATCGATACTCTGCAAAAAATGACTACTTATGTAGCCTGCAATTTTCTCATTGATTTTCGATGCCCTTGAAAATTCAATTACATTTCATGGACAACATGCAAAAAATATTCACTCTTTTACTTATTCGGTAGAAAATCACATCTTCAAAATCCATACTCAAAAGGAGAGTATAATTCAGTTTTAAAAAACTTTTCTAATTCCCGAATAATTTTGAACCCGACCTGCTGTTACACTTGCATTCAGGGTTTCAAAACTACTAGCTGTATATTTTCCGTGTACGGAAAACCATGCATTTCTATACGGTGTTAAGAGGAGACCACCTGAGGTTCATAAAATTAAGCAGTGGATTTGAGTAATATCGTTAGCTTTACAAGCCAAATTCGTAAATGCAGATACATGACGTTCCATGAACGGCCACTTAACGGTATGAAAAAATCTCACAGTTAGAAACTTTTTTAAAACCGAATTATACTCTTCTTTTGAGTACGAAATTGAAGAAGGACGTGATTTTCTACCGAAGAAGTAGAAGCATGAATATTTTTATGCATGTTTTCCATGAAATATAATTGAATTTTCAAGGGCATCGAAAATCAATGAGAAAATTGCATGATACATAAGTAGTCATTTTTTGCAGAGTATAGATCTTGCATGCAGTCGAAAATAAGTTCTTTCGAAAGCCGTCACCCTGAGGTAACTGAATCATTATAGATTTATGCTGAATCATGATAAGTTTTACAACACTACTTACTTTATCTTTTCGAAACGAGAACGCATTTCGAAATTTTGGTTGACATTTCATGAGTTAGCCCATCTACTGTATGTCATTTGTTCATCAGAGCACATGGGTATCCATTGTGTATTTCACACGGTTAACTCGTTGTACAAATTCACTCCCAATGTAACTCTCAGTACGTAGTCCGGGTGATGTAAGTCCCACGTTGGGCTTGATGCCGGTGCTACGAAGTTGAACTTCAGCTCATCTGTGATAAAATAGCATGATGTCACCATCGACCTTCGGAGACACTTTATCAAGTTAATCCAAAACCTGTCAAGTGTGGATTAAATTTTCCAGTGTTTTAGAGTTGCGAAAATTCCCATTGAAGAATTCAAAAGACAATTTGGCGAGCATACGTAAGCTTTTGATAAATTCTCAGCAGGCCTATACATTTATGCGGATATTGAAGTGATTAAAAATAAAATGCGGGCAAGCAGAAATTCTTCTGTAGCTGGGGTTTGGGCGAGAAGGTCTGGGTGGGCGAGGTGAAAAATTACCGTCAGCGTCAGCGGGGAGAAGGAGATGGCGGGCACTGGGACGGGACAGTGTTTGTTATCTGCCACTCTTTTGAAAGTGAAAAAGGAAAGAGACTGCAAGTTGAGATTACTGTTGAGTAGCAGCTGACGTGGTCGATAAGAACTTAGTCTAAAAGGATTAAAGATAGTCAGGATTCTATCTGCTGAAGACGTGGATTACTCATAAAAACTCCTTAGGTATATCGGCACCTGGATGACGGTTTCTACTATCGCCCTCGAAACGCCAAGGCTTCAAGTAAACATTCGTAAATTCAGACAGCTAAAGTGGTAGACAACGGGCGACTGAAATAACCATCTCTTGGTTCATTTTCACCGCCGGTGACGATGAAGACCTTGAAGTTCTGGGCAAATTCTAGCCTCGTAAAGCACTAGGCTGGGTCAGATTTGTCTATAGGTCTCGCCTCTTAAAACAACTTTAGAGTAGATTTCACTTAGAGGCAATTAAGGCGATGTGAGGAGATAATCGGCAGGGAGCAGTTGCCTGGGAACTATGCTCGCCGATGAAACGAAGTATGCTAATGCCTCTCCTCTTTGTCAGTCACTTCGACTACTGCTCATCCATATGCCGGAACAAATAAATGTGCGGCTTCAGAACTGGCCAGTCTCTCAAACCCCTGAGGGCTCTTTTGTCTCCTGCTCAAAAGCTGCTCAGAAAGCGGACCTAGGACATTTCGGCAGAATGTGCATAGGTTCTCAAAACGACGCCACTGATTATCGTGGTCATTTATTTAATCGCAGGATAGTACGCATCGTTTGCTCATTCAAAAAGGCGGTTTGACGGGTGCATTTACCTTCATCGTCAGATTTGTCACAGAAGACTATCCGATCAAAAGATTTACACACAAAATTATCATTGCATTGGGGGGGGGCGGCGGGATGGGCTAGTTCGCATGCCCCGACACTCCGGGGATGAAACAGGGCGATGTAGAAGGCCGAGTTAGACGAGGAACTCAATCTTTTTCGTTGCCGGGAGCGCCTATGATGCCAGTTGCACACAAATTCACTGAGATAGCGAGAGCCGGAGCCATGCACAAAGAGAACAGAGGTATAAAGCTCGTAATTCGCACTTACAGTAGGTGGGCTAACTCATTAAATGTCAACCGAACTTCCGAAATGTGTTGTCGTTTCGAAAAGATTAATTAAATAGGGTTGTAAAACTAGTCAGCCGGCAACATAATCCTATAATATTTCAGTTACCTTAAAATGCTGGCTTTCGAATGAACTTCCTTTCGGCTGCATGCAAAAACCATAATCTGTAAAAAATGAATGCTTATGTAGCATGAATTTTTCTTATTGATTTTTGATGCTCCTAAAATTACAATTGTATTTCAAGGAAAACAAGCATAAAAATATTCATTTTTCCGCTTATTTAGTAGATAGTTACGTCTTCCTCCAATGTTATACTCGAAGGAAGGGCATAATCTGGTTTTCAAAAACCTTTCCGATTTCCGAATAATTTTAAACCCGATCTATCATTACACTTGGATTCAGGGCTTCCAAACTACAAGGCGTATATTTTCCGCGTACGGAAAACCAAACATTTCTCTACGGTAATTAAGGGGAATATATAGGGTTTATAAAATTTCGCCGTGGATTTGATCCATATTGTTAACTTTACAAGTCACATTGGTAAATGCAGAGGCATGACGATTTATGATCGGTCATTTAACGATATTTAAAAGTCCCACAATTAGAAACTTTTTTAAACTGAATTATGTCCCTCTTTCGAGTATAAAATTAGAAGCCGTAATTTTCTAGCGCATGAGCAAAAGAATGAATATTTTTATGCATGCTTTTCGTGAAATATAATTGGGCTTTTAGGGGCATCGATAGTCAATGAGAAAAATGCATGCTACTTAAGTGGCTGTTTTTTGAAGAGCGTAGTTTTTGCATGCAGACGGAAGGAAATTCATTCGAAAGCCGGCATCCTGAGGTAACAGAAATATTATAGAATTATGCTGCAAGCTGACTAGTTTTACCACGCTACTTACTTAATCTTTTCGAAACGAAAACGCATTTCGGAATTTTGGTTGACATTTCATGAGTTAGTCCACCTACTGTAAAGCTTTTAGCGCACACGCCGTTCACTACTCGTCGGCGAAAGTAACACTGCGTTAAATAAACAACCGTTTGTAAAAATAAGACATATCTCCATTTATGATGTATTATTTACTAGTTAAGAAGTAATTTATTTTATTGCAGACCACCAAGTCAAAAAACAGCAATTTGACGACTCAAATGTTTAAGGCCTTATACAACGGACTGCAGAGAGGGAAAATAAAATACAGCCGCAAAATAATTAAAAACAATCTAAATGGAATGTATAAATACTAATTGTTCTCTGATTGTAAAACGGGTGAAAATTGAGCTAACGCATAAAGGGGCCAACACATAAGAGTAGTTTTTGTGTAAAAAAATCGTCGTCCCGCTTGCTTGTGGACCATTTTGACAGTCTACTTAGTTCTTGGCATTTTTCTGTTATCAGTAATATTCCAAAGAGTGACCTGGCTAATATTGA